ATCCCTGTATAGTGATCTGAATAGAGAAATAGTATAGTGAATAATATAGAGAATAGCGGTCCGTATAGTAATAGAGGATAGAATAGAAATGGTGATCCGAATAGTAATCCCTGTATAGTGATCTGAATAGAAAATAGTATAGTGAATAATATAGAGAATAGCGGTCCGTATAGTAATAGAGGATAGAATAGAAATGGTGATCCGAATAGTAATCCCTGTATAGTGAGGATTGATCTGAATAGAAAATAGTGATCTGAATAGTGAATAATATAGAGAATAGCGGTCCGTATAGTAATAGAGGATAGAATAGAAATGGTGATCGAATAGTAATCCTGTATAGTGATCTGAATAGAGAAATAGTATAGTGAATAATATAGAGAATAGCGGTCCGTATAGTAATAGAGGATAGAATAGAAATGGTGATCCGAATAGTAATCCTGTATAGTGATCTGAATAGAGAAATAGTATAGTGAATAATATAGAGAATAGCGGTCCGTATAGTAATAGAGGATAGAATAGAAATGGTGATCCGAATAGTAATCCCTGTATAGTGATCTGAATAGAGAAATAGTATAGTGAATAATATAGAGAATAGCGGTCCGTATAGTAATAGAGGATAGAATAGAAATGGTGATCCGAATAGTAATCCTGTATAGTGATCTGAATAGAAAATAGTATAGTGAATAATATAGAGAATAGCGGTCCGTATAGTAATAGAGGATAGAAACAGATAGTGAAATGGTGATCCGAATAGTAATCCCTGTATAGTGATCTGAATAGAGAAATAGTATAGTGAATAATATAGAGAATAGCGGTTCGTATAGTAATAGAGGATAGAATAGAAATGGTGATCCGAATAGTAATCCCTGTATAGTGATCTGAATAGAGAAATAGTATAGTGAATAATATAGAGAATAGCGGTCCATATAGTAATAGAGGATAGAATAGAAATGGTGATCCGAATAGTAATCCCTGTATAGTGATCTGAATAGAGAAATAGTATAGTGAATAATATAGAGAATAGCGGTCCGTATAGTAATAGAGGATAGAATAGAAATGGTGATCCGAATAGTAATCCCTGTATAGTGATCTGAATAGAGAAATAGTATAGTGAATAATATAGAGAATAGCGGTCCGTATAGTAATAGAGGATAGAATTTTTTGGTGATCCGAATATAATCCCCGTATAGTGATCTGAATAGATATTATAGTGAATAATATAGAGAATAGCGGTCCGTATAGTAATAGAGGATAGAATAGAAATGGTGATCCGAATAGTAATCCTGTATAGTGATCTGAATAGAGAAATAGTATAGTGAATAATAGAATAAATAGTAATAGAGGATAGAATAAAATGGTGATCCGAATAGTAATCCCTATATAGTGATCTGAATAGAAATAGTATAGTGAATAATATAGAGAATAGCGAAAAATCCGAATAGTAATCCTTATAGGATCTGAATAGAAATGGTGATCCGAATAGTAATCCCCTATATAGTGGATAGAATGAATCCTGTATAGTGATCTGAGAAATAAATATAGTGAATAATATAGAAATAGCGGTCCGTATAGTAATGGGGATAGAATAGAAATGGTGATCCGAATAGTAATCCCTGTATAGTGATCTGAATAGAGAAATAGTATAGTGAATAATATAGAAATAGCGGTCCGTATAGTAATAGAGAGATAGAATAGAAATGGTGATCCGAATAGTAATCCCTGTATAGTGATCTGAATAGAGAAATAGTATAGTGAATAATATAGAGAATAGCGGTCCCGTATAGTAATAGAGGATAGAATAGAAATGGTGATCCGAATAGTAATCCCTATATAGTGATCTGAATAGAGAAATAGTATAGTGAATAATATAGAGAATAGCGGTCCGTATAGTAATAGAGGATAGAATAGAAATGGTGATCGAATAGTAATCCTGTATAGTGATCTGAATAGAGAAATAGTATAGTGAATAATATATAGAATAGCGGTCCGTATAGTAATAGAGGATAGAATAGAAATGGTGATCCGAATAGTAATCCCTGTATAGTGATCTGAATAGAGAAATAGTATAGTGAATAATAGAGAAATAGCGGTCCGTATAGTAATGATCCGAATAGTAATATAGAATAGAAATGGTGAATCCGGTCAATAGTAATAGGATAGAATAAAATGGTGATCCGAATAGTAATCCTGTATAGTGATCTGAATAGAGAAATAGTATAGTGAATAATATAGAGAATAGCGGTCCGTATAGTAATAGAGGATAGAATAGAAATGGTGATCCGAATAGTAATCCCTGTATAGTGATCTGAATAGAAAATAGTATAGTGAATAATATAGAGAATAGCGGTCCGTATAGTAATAGAGGATAGAATAGAAATGGTGATCCGAATAGTAATCCCTGTATAGTGATCTGAATAGAGAAATAGTATAGTGAATAATATAGAGAATAGCGGTCCCGTATAGTAATAGAGGATGAATAGAAATGGTGATCCGAATAGTAATCCCTGTATAGTGATCTGAATAGAGAAATAGTATAGTGAATAATATAGAGAATAGCGGTCCGTATAGTAATAGAGGATAGAATAAATGGTGATCCGAATAGTAATCCCTGTATAGTGATCTGAATAGAGAAATAGTATAGTGAATAATATAGAGAATAGCGGTCCCGTATAGTAATAGAGGATAGAATAGAAATGGTGATCCGAATAGTAATCCCTGTATAGTGATCTGAATAGAGAAATAGTATAGTGAATAATATAGAGAATAGCGGTCCGTATAGTAATAGATGATAGAATAGAAATGGTGATCCGAATAGTAATCCCTGTATAGTGATCTGAATAGATAAATAGTATAGTGAATAATATAGAGAATAGCGGTCCGTATAGTAATAGAGGATAGAATAGAAATGGTGATCGAATAGTAATCCCTGTATAGTGATCTGAAGAGAGAATAATATAAAATAGCGGTCCGTATAGTAATAGAGGATGAATAAAATGGTGATCCGAATAGTAATCCTGTATAGTGATCTGAATATAGTAATAATATAGAGGGTCCGTATAGTAATAGAATATGGTGATCCGAATAGTAATCCCTGTATAGTGATCTGAATAGAGAAATAGTATAGTGAATAATATAGAGAATAGCGGTCCGTATAGTAATAGAGGATAGAATAGAAATGGTGATCCGAATAGTAATCCCTGTATAGTGATCTGAATAGAGAAATAGTATAGTGAATAATATAGAGAATAGCGGTCCGTATAGTAATAGAATAGAAATGGTGATCCGAATAGTAATCCCTGTATAGTGATCTGAATAGAGAAATAGTATAGTGAATAATATAGAGAATAGCGGTCCGTATAGTAATAGAGGATAGAATAGAAATGGTGATCCGAATAGTAATCCCTGTACAGTGATCTGAAGAGAGAAATACTATAGTGAATAATATAGAGAATAGCGGTCCGTATAGTAATAGAGGATAGAATAGAAATGGTGATCCGAATAGTAATCCCTGTATAGTGATCTGAATAGAGAAATAGTATAGTGAATAATATAGAGAATAGCGGTCCGTATAGTAATAGAGGATAGAATAGAAATGGTGATCCGAATAGTAATCCCTGTGTAGTGATCTGAATAAAAAATAGTATAGTGAATAATATAGAGATAGCGGTCCGTATGTAATAGAGGATAGAATAGAAATGGTGATCGAATAGTAATCCTGTATAGTGATCTGAATAGAGAAATAGTATAGTGAATAATATAGAGAATAGCGGTCCGTATAGTAATAGAGGATAGACTAGAAATGGTGATCCGAATAGTAATCCCTAATATAGTGATCTGAATAGAAAATAGTATAAATGAATAATATAGAGAATAGCGGTCCGTATAGTAATAGAGGATAGAATAGAAATGGTGTTTTTTTGTTACTGTCTTTATTTTTTTTTTTTTTATCTGTTCCTCTCTCTTTCCGTGTGTTTCTAGCATAAACTAGTCTTCCTTAGCATTAATTTCCTTCTTTTTGATTACGCCTTACCGTTATCATCTACTCTCGGCAACGTGATAGCCACGAGATGTGTTTTTTTTTTGGCGGGATCTTCAGAGTTCTTTTTGGTTCGGTACCTGCTTGCATGCACCCTTGCTCGCCGCTCCGCCTTTCTTGATAACTTTGGTATGTTTTATTCCATTCTTCTTTTTTTTTTTTCTTTATTCGCCTTTGTATTGAAAATGTATTGTGGTAACACTACAATAGTAGTTTTTTTTTCCGTATTTCTGGATGCTCATTCAACAAGTTTGTGCTTTCGAGCCCTGAATTTTGATATTTAGAAAGAATGTAGGACCTTTCTATGTTTGACTTTGCTCTGTCGTTTAGACATACTCCTTTACCATGTCTACCATTGTTAATTGCCCCTTCTGGCTCTCAACGCTTAGCTGCCTTTCCGAATTTGTTGCTGTCATATTTAACATAAATACGACACGTGCTTCGCTGGTCTTAGCCACCTTCGCCACTACCGTCTGCCTTGCGGCTGCTGGTAGTAAGTTAGCTTTTTCTTTTTCTTTCTTTCTTTGTTCTCTCTTTGCTTCCTTCACTGTCTCTCGTCTCCCTTTCCTTTTGTCCCTTTCGTCGCAGCGGACTCATGTTTTTGTTCATTTTTCTTTCAGATTTTTACCTGATTCACAGAATAAAATCTTTCGTTTTCCAATGAAATTCGTCCGTGTTTTGTGAATTCGAGTTTACACTGGCTGTCTAAAGCAGCGTGTTTTTTAGCATGTTGTCCAAGGCAGCACAGTAAAAAATTAAAGATTTATCCGCACGTGGCGCAAGGTCTTCCATAATGCAGTGTGACCAGCTTCCTCTCTCACGGCTCTTTGCGGATTTCTCTACTGGACTGCTGCCGGCGTAAAACTAATTTGACAGCTATTAGCCTTTTCAACGACTCGTGACGCTCCGGCACTCTTTGCCTACCCTTCTCTGCAACAGATCCCAGCACGCTTCAACAAACGCCATGGACCAAAAGTCCGTTGTCTCTAATAGAACGCGCTCCAGGTTCTCTTCTGCCTCATCTAAGGCCTTAGCTGTCCGTGCCGAACTGGAGATGGCTAAAGCAGGCCTGCTCTTCGTGAAGAGAGAGAATAAACTGCGCGAAGCAAAGGCTAAAATGGAGTCTGAAGAGAAAACTCTAGAGGCTCAAAGGGAGATAGCTCTCAAAGAAGCCGCACTAAAGGCCTTTGAAGAGTATGTCTCGCTTAGTGAGGAAAAATCCAGCATCCACCTTGACCAGACTCCTGCCGATCCCATGCAGCGTACGAGAGAATATGTGGCCGAACAGTCGGCTCAACTCAACTCACAACCTGCCGCCCCGCAATTGGTACAATCATCTGCCCTGCAACACACACGCTCTCCTGCATCCCAATTCGATCAGCCCACCAACTCAGAAGCCTCCTTCCGCTACTTCCCCGATCCATCTGATGATCATCGGAGGAGGTGCTCAACTGAAAACCGCCATGACCATTCCAGTGACTTAATGCGTTACTTCGCCCGGCGTGAATTACTTCAAGCCAGTATGCTGAAATTCTCGGACAGACCTAAGGACTATCGAGCATGGAGACGTTCATTTCGCAACTCCATTGTCGACCTGCATTTGACACCGAGTGAAGAAATGGACTTGCTTGTGAAATGGCTCGGCCCTGCCTCCACTGAGCATGCCAACCGTTTAAGGACAGCCTACCTTAACCATCCTGAGAAGGGCCTGCATGAAATATGGAAGCGTTTGGAAAAATGCTACGGGTCCCCTGAAGCCATCGAAGACTCACTCTTCGAAAGGATCCATAGGTTCCCAAAGGTAACCAAGGACTACGACAGACTGAGGGAGCTAAGCGACCTCCTCACCGAACTCCAAGCAGCTAAGGATGATGGTGATCTCCCCCGGCCTTGCCCTCCTGGACACTGCTCAGGGTCTCAGGCCTATTGTGGAGAAGCTTCCGCCTACACTACGAGACCAATGGACCTCCCATGGCACGACATACAAGCGGAAACACCAAGTGCCATTCCCCCCATTCTCGGTGTTTACTAAGTTCATCGAACAACAAGCAGAAGACAGGAACGACCCCAGCTTTCGTCTTACCACAGATACTTGGCCTCGCAAAACATGGACCGAACAACCACACCACAGCGGAAAGAAATTTCAGTCCACAAGACTCAGATTGCATCAAAAGATATCAAAGAGATATGCCCCATCCATAACCTGCCTCACCCTCTTCGTAGTTGCCGGGCATTTAGAAGCAAACCCTTTCCAGAGAGACAAGCCTATCTGAGACAACACAACATCTGTTTCCGATGTTGCGCTACCCATGTCAACAAGGACTGCAGGTTCAAGCCTAAATGCGCTGAGTGTGGCAGTGAAAGCCACAACACTGCTCTTCACCCTGGACCCGTACCACAAACGACACCCATCAGAGCCATGCCAAACCATGGCGGGGAGAACAACGATATTACAGCCCACTGCACACAGGTTTGTGGTAGCAACTTAATCGAAAAATCTTGTTCAAAAAATTTGCCTGGTGAAGGTGCATCCACAAGGCCAGAGAAACAAGGCAGTCAGGATGTATGCCGTGATCGACGAACATAGCAACAAGTCACTTGCTCGTCCAGAGTTCTTCGAGTTGTTCAGTGACCACGGCCCCACATCTTATTCACTTAGGACTTGCGCTGGAGTCATAGAAATGGTTGGGAGAAGAGCCTATGGATACAGAATTGAATCCATAGATGGACACACCAGCCTGCCCCTTCCAACATTAATCGAGTGCGCTGATGTGCCAGATAATCGCGCAGAAATCCCAACACCAGAAACAGCCCTTCATCACAAACACTAGGCTAGAATATCAGCAGAGATTTCTAACTTGGACCAGCGGGCCCCTATTTTGCTACTCCTGGGTCGTGACATTATCGAAGTACATAAGGTTCACGCCCAGATCAATGGTCCTCACAGCGCCCCTTATGCTCAGAAATTAGACATGGGCTGGGTGATAGTGGGGAACGTATGCCTCGGGGGGACGCATAAACCGTCCACTGTTGACACCTTCTTCACCAGCACCCGAGAAGGAAGCCGCCCAACAAACTTTGAGCCTTGTCCCAACACATTCCGAGCCAAGGAAAGATACTGCCGGAAAGGATTGGGCAGCTCCGTCTTTCAACCGACCAAGGAGGACGACCGACTGGCCTACTCCATAGAGGACAGAATCTTCCTTGATATCATGGAAAAAGGTGTGAAGAAGAATAGTCACCGCAGCTGGGTAGCACCTCTTCCATTCAAGCCATCCAGACTGCGACTTCCTAATAACCGACAACAAGCAGTCAGTCGGCTCAACTCGCTAACTCGCCAATTCAGGAAGAAACCGTATTTGGCACAGGACTTCTTCTCCTTCATGGAAAAAATCTTCGCTAACGCCCGGGCAGAAGTGGCCCCTCCACTCAAACAGGAAGAAGAGAGATGGTACTTGCCTATGTTCGGCATTTACCATCCAAAGAAACCGAACAAAATCAGAGTCGTCTTTGACTCCAGTGCCCAATATAATGGAGTCTCGTTGAACGACGCCCAATTAACCGGGCCCGATCTAAACAACAATTTAATAGGATTCCTGATCCGTTTCCGAAGGGAGCCCGTAGCAATCATGGCTGACGTCGAACAAATGTTTTACTGTTTTCTCGTTAAAAGAGAGCACAGGGACTTTCTGCGGTTCCTGTGGTATAGAGACAATGACCCTGATAAGGAAATAGTCGAATACCGGATGAAAGTCCACGTATTCGGCAACAGTCCTTCACCGGCAGTGGCAACTTACTGCCTAAGGAAATCTGTCGAAGAGACACACCCGGAGTCTAGCCCCGCTGTTGTTCAGTATGTCCACCGTGACTTTTATGTGGACGATGGACTAAAGTCAGTGCCTACTGTAGGAGAGGCCATCTCCTTGCTGAAGGAAACCCAAAATGTTCTGGCAGCATCTAAGTTGAGACTACATAAAATAGCCTCCAATAAAAAGGAGGTTCTGGACGCCTTCCCTACAGGAGACCTCGCCAGCGACATCAAGGATCTGGACCTCAATGAAGAGGCTGTACCGATGCAACGTAGCTTGGGACTTGATTGGGACCCAGAGAGTGACTGCTTCACCTTCCGAGTTGCAGATGAAAAGAAGCCTTACACACGCAGAGGTGTCTTGTCAACAATCAACAGCCTCTATGACCCCCTTGGGTTCGTGGCTCCAGTTACCATCCAAGGCAAGTCCATTTTACGGGAACTCACATCCGATAAGGTTGATTGGGATACCCCTTTACCCCCTCAGAAGGAACAACTTTGGACTGCATGGCGCGATTCCCTTCGAGAACTCCACAACCTCCAGATACCAAGGACTTACACCACCAAATCGCCAACTACAACATCCTTCAGGCAGTTGTGTGTCTTCTCGGACGCGTCGACTAAGGCAATTGCTGCTGTAGCCTACCTCAGAGTCACCTATCTCGATGGTACTTGTGAGGTGGGTTTCATCATGGGAAAAACGAAATTGGCACCACAACCTGAGACCTCTGTGCCCAGACTGGAACTCTGTGCTGCCGTCTTGGCAGTTGAATTGGCAGATATCATTCTCTGAGAGCTCGACATGCAAGTGAACTCTACCATTTTTTTTACTGATGGCAAGGTTGGTTCTTGGCTATATAAGCAATGAACATCGCCGCTTTTACGTTTATGTCAGCAATCGAGTTCTACGCATCCGTAGATCATCTCGGCCTGAACAGTGGCATTACGTACCCACAGATAAAAACCCAGCTGACTGTGGAACCAGGTCTGTTCCTGCCATCCAAATGACTACTACAGCCTGGCTCAACGGTCCCTCCTTCCTCTCTAACCCCTCGTTCAACCGTTTTGAATCCAATTCCTACGGACTTATCAATCCTGAAAACGACGTTGAAATCCGTCCAGTAGTGACAACCTTCACCACCCACTCATCCCCCGTGCTGCTTGATGCTCATCGCTTCAGGAAGTTCTCCACATGGACGGCACTTACACGAGCCATTGCTCGCTTGATCCACATTTCTCAGTCATTTAAGAAAGAGACTAGACCGAAGGACTGCAAGGGCTGGCATTACTGTCGAGCACCATTTCCAGTAGAAACACTGGCGCAATCTAACAACTTGATCCTCCGGTCGGCGCAAAGGGACACATATGCTTTGGAACTCTCTTGCTTTTTACAGCATAAGGAACTTCCCAAGAGCAGTGCACTCAGGAAATTAGATCCCTTCGTAGACGACCAAGGTCTCCTCAGAATCGGAGGTCGCACACGAAGAGCAGGACTAGACCATAGCGAGATGCACCCTGTTATCTTATCTGGCAAGCACCATATAACGTCCCTACTCGTTAGGCACCACCACAAGCAGGTACACCACCAGGGACGTCACTTCACAGAGGGCGCAGTCCGTGCTGCTGGCTTCTGGATTGTTGGTGGAAAGAGAAGCATCAGCAAAACCATCCACTATTGCGTAATTTGCAGAAAGCTCCGAGGACCTATGCAGATCCAAAAGATGGCAGACCTACCAGAAGACCGCCTATCCATGGAACCTCCCTTCACAAATGTGGGGCTTGATGTTTTTGGGCCTTGGCCCATTACTTCACGTCGAACTAGAGGGGGCTTGGCCCACAGCAAGCGGTGGGCCACAATATTCACATGCATGACCACAAGAGCTGTTCACATCGAGGTCTTGGAGTCACTCGACACATCAAGCCTGATAAATGCTCTCAGGCGCTTTTTTCATCCGGGGTCCTGCAAGACTTATCCGTTCGGACCAAGGCTCCAATTTTGTCGGAGCAAGAAACGAACTCGGAATCAATTCCACCCTAGACACAAGTGCTGTGGGTAAACACCTCTCTGAATACGGTTGTACCTGGTTATTCAACCCTCCGCATGCACCACACATGGGTGGAGCGTGGGAAAGAATGATAGGTATTGCCAAGAGGATTCTCAATTCCATGTTAATGCAACATGGAAGCACCAAACTAACCCATGAAGTGCTCACCACCTTCCTGGCTGAGGTGACTGCCATTGTTAATAGCAGACCACTTGTCCCAGTATCCACAGACCCAGAAGACCCAGTTCTGCTGACACCTTCAACACTCCTCACCCAAAAGATCGGCTCCGCTCCTGCACCAACAGGTGACTTCACTATAAAGGATGTTTCCAGGCAACAATGGAGGCACGTTCAACATCTTGCTCAGACGTTTTGGAGCCGGTGGAGGGGCCAGTACCTCCCTCTTTTGCAGGCCCGAAGCAAATGGACTTCCAGCGTTCCAAACCTGAAACCTGGCAGTGTGGTCCTTTTGAAAGACCAGGATTCGAAGAGAAACGAATGGCCCTTGGGACTGATTACCCGTGTCATTCCTAGCCAAGATGGAAAGGTGCGACAGGTCGAAGTGAAAATTTACAAGAATGACACTGCAAAATTGTTCCTGAGACCTGTAACAGAGACTGTGCTTCTCCTCCCCCCTCCTCCGTCTGAGCCTATCTGTTAAAATGGACCTTCTTCCCCCTCTTCGATCCCCTCCGTATACCACCTTCCTTGTCTCTTTGCTCTCCCCACTCCATGCTTTAATTTTTTCACAGGACTGTTACTACTCCTTCCCTTTTCTTCTTTTCTCCTTCCTTTCCCTGCCAGATGCATGCCCTTCAACCTTTCAAATGTAAAACAAACTTGAACTAGAAACCTTCACACGAACTTTTTGAGATCTCACAATCTCAGGCGGGGAGTGTCACGTTTTTAACGTCAACCTTCTGTCCTTAGGGACAAATTCACTGTACACCGTTTTTGTTTGTTTACCCTTTTTTACCTCTCGTCTCGCTGCTCCTTTTTTTGTTACTGTCTTTATTTTTATTTTTTTATCTGTTCCTCTCTTTTCCGTGTGTTTCTAGAATAAACTAGTCTTCCTTAGCATTAATTTCCTTCCTTTTTGATTACGCCTTACCGTTATCATCTACTCTCGGCAACGTGATAGCCACGAGATGTGTGTTTTCTTTTGGCGGGATCTTCTGAGTTCTTTTTGGTTCGGTACCTGCTTGCATGCACCCTTACTCGCCGCTCCGCCTTTCTTGATAACTTTGATTTTTTACCTGATTCACAGAATAAAATCTTTCGTTTTCCAATGAAATTCGTCCGTGTTTTGTGAATTCGAGTTTACGCTGGCTGTCTAAAGCAGCGTGTTTTTTAGCATGTTGTCCAAGGCAGCACAATTCTCACTTTCATTTACTAGCTTCCGTCGGAGCTCATATATATATATATATATATATATATATTTTGAACAATAAAAAAATATTAAAAAATTAAAATCTTCAAACACACTGGGTTGAAGATTAATATTCTTTCGTTTTTTTTTTTATTATTATTTCATTTAGATTCCTCGACTAGTTTCGGCCAAAATGGCCATCATCGGGAGAAGAAATATTTCTGCTTGCTGGTAGCAGTAAACTACAGAAATGAATGTCATGATGGAGACGATTGCATCTAGCATAAAACAGACTGTCGCCTCTAAGTGTTGAATTCTATGTTCACTTTTATATTTACACACGCTCTATCTCTGATATTGAGCACTTCATCCCATAAATATAGCACACCTTAAGACAATATTTCTTCACACACACACACACACACACACACACACACATATATATATATATATATATATATATATATATATATATATATATATATGTATATATTCAGATGTATCAAAACAGTGTTACAAACTTTGGGGGAGGCTTCCTCACACCAAAACAAGGATAAAAGTCCATATAATCATATGTTCATTATTAAGTATAAAGAAAGTTTACGGTAGGTGGCGCTGTGTTGCTATGTAGACTAGTTTACATTTGTCATTCGTGTACATTTTGGGCTAGTCTGTCTTCAGTTTAATGTGTGCAGTAGTGAGGTAATTGAGAAGTATTCCCTTTAACAATGGCAGGATATTCATATCCTGAGCAAATGATTTTTTACATATGGCCGCGCGGATGGTAATGGATGCGAAGCCGCACGGCTGTATCTGATTGTGTTTCCCGACCGAAGATAGCCGGGTTATCCAACATTTGCTGCTGTTTATCGTCGTGTTGCTGAGAAAGGATCCTTGCTATCACAAACTATGGGTCGACGAAGACCGTGACTTGCTCGTATGTCTGACCACGATGAACACATTCTCCAGGCTGCCGGAGACGATCCAGGTATCACCACACGTCAAGTGGCCCTAGCATATATGATGCATCTCATAGTATCTCATGGAGGGTACTTCAAGAGCAGCTCCTGTATCCGTATCATTTGCAACATGTGCAGGATATTTCGCCACAGAACATTTGCTTATTGTTTATTGTACAGACTGTCGATCTGTTGTTTGCCTCTTCTGTTTTCTTTACAATTTACGTTGTTTTGATGTGAGGCCCCACTTCCTACCCCCCCCAAAAAAAAAAAATTGTAAAATTATTTTGGATTGTATCTTGGATTGTACGTTTAACAGCGTCTACCACGAAAGAAATAAATAAAGATTTGCGGACATGTTTATATGGACTTTTGTCCTTGAATCAATGTGAGGAACTCGCCCCAAAGTTTGTAAAAGTATTTTAGATACATTCTGTATATAAAACAGAAAATGTTTGTGTGTGTGTCTGTGTGTCTATGCTATTTATTAACGTCCACATTTCTCAACCGATTTCGATGAAATTGTGCACACCCGTTGCAAATTTATCATGGTAGATCAAGACCAACTTTTCAATCTCTAGTTAAAAGGTTTGGCCGAAAAAAGCGATAAAACTGAAGGTCGGTTCGACTTTTTACAAAAACCAAGGCAAAGTTACAGGCGAACAAAATTTTTGCTGGATGAGCTGATGTTCTTTGCACTTAATGCAAAACATAGCTCATATTACGAGGTTTATGTAGAGTGCTTGATAGTTTTCCTGTGACATTGGCTTCGCACAAAAAATTGCAAAAAAAAAAAAATATGAAAAAAAAATCGTTTTTTTTGTACTACTTAAAACTTGAATAATTTCCTCATTTTTTATCCAATTTTCTTCAAACATGTCATAAAAACTTTGCCATCATGCAAGAAATAAGATAGTATGATTTTAGTCCAGCTCGCTTCACCGTGTAAAACGAAAAACCAGGAAAAACGGCTAATAAAGTTCGTTTTTAGGCCGTAACTCCCTGGTTTTTCATTTGATGCTTTCCAAATTAGCCATGTAAATTATATATGACACACAAATTGTCTTGCGTGAATGTTTGCTTCAGATTATTTCACTTAAGTGGACGATATCAGCAACAAACTAAGTCCAAAATCGGCTTTTGCCATTTAGCCAAAAATTCCATCCTAAGTTGGCATTCGAACAACCTTTGATTGTTTGAGAAAGATTATTGAAGCGTTAAAAGCGAAAAATTCCTGAAGAACCTCTTATTAACCCCAACTTTACAGTAAATGTGCGAAGAAGGAGGTGGGGAATTCATGCGTTTGCACTTGCAGTTGAATCAAGCTCTGACGCTCCATCCCTGTTTATGTTTAATTAGATTTGTGAACAATGCCATACTATTTGAAAGTTATTACGGCCATAAGAAATTTACTGAATATCTAAAACATTGAAACAATTTAACCCCGAGCAACGACCACACAAGAAGTTTTTATCGATGAAATTCTTTTATTAAGAACATTCAAATAAATGATAGATATTATTAGAAGGATTTGAGATAATTATAATTAAGTAATTCATCGAGTCTAGAAGAAACCTCAACAGAATGCAGAAAGCACTGGACGGCCGTTTCGTCCTATATTTGGGACTCATCAGCGATGCGCATTCACTACCGAGAATATATCAGCACTATATCGAGTCTAATTCGCTACCTCTTCGTCCCGTTTGTACAGTTGGTATGACGTTTGCCTCATAACGTAACTGTCCGGGTTTCAATTCTCGGTAGTGGATGCGCACTGATGATGAGTCCCAAATATAGGACGAAGCGGCCATACAGTGCTTTCTGCATTCTGTTGACGTTTCTTCTAGACTCTATGAATTACTTAATTATATATATATGTTAACAGTCCTTTTCAGCTCTTAAATTTATTATAATTTGAGTAAAATCTGTTATAGTAAATATATATATATGTGTGTGTGTGTGTTAACAGTCCTTTCCAGCTCTTAAATTTATTATAATTTGAGTAAAATCTGTTTTTAACATGTACATAAACAAATTCTACGTTAGATATCGGATCATTGTAGCAACTGTTGGTTGCTGTTGAGCCAACCTTTAAAAATGGACATATGCCACCGGTGTCAATCCCAACTGCCAATGCGGGCAATCACAAACTATACCACCTCTAGTTTGTCCCAGTCTTGAAGATCCAGACACACTAAACGACCTTGAAACATTAACATTCCAGGCAAGGCACAGTGTGCAACACTGGATTGGTGCGGTGTAGCGACTCGATCAGAAGATTCTTAGTGGTTGATCATCTGCTTATCGGATGTTGTTAAGATTGTGTCCACTAATAATGGATTCGGGTGGGGTTTTTAATTCTCTCAAAATCGCTTCACTCTAAAGTTTGAATAAGTCCGGTCAGAAAAAACAAAAAAAAAAAAAAAAAAAATACAACGTCTTACTCTTTCCTTTCTCAAAGAACTCTCATCATCATTGCTGCTTCGAAAGATATGAAAGGTGACCAGAACAAAGAATATGGACATATTGATCTGAATAATTCATGGTATCAAATCAAAAGTTGTAATTCTTTTTATGTTTATTCATACATAATTATGTCCCGTCAAATTGCGAGAAGAAACACTATTCCGAATTGAATTTGATTAATTTATGCAAAAAAAAAAAAAAAAATAAAATAAGACATAGTAAATGCTTTTTATTGAAACTGACGATTCCTATCTCGCAACCCCCCACTACACCTGAAGAGGAGTTGAATGTGGCAGTCTGATTTATGGAGACGAACAGCACAGAAACATTGCTGAGAGAATTTCAGCGAAGAGCCATTGTTGTTATTCAATGGTGTCTTTCTTTCATATTACCATCGCATTCAGAGAGAGAGAGAGAGAGAGAGAGAGAGAGAGACAGACAGACAGACAGACAGACAGACAGACAGACAGACAGAGACAGGAAGAGAGAGACAGATAGACAGAGAGAGAGAGAGAGAGAGAGAAGAAGAGAGAGAGAGACAGACAGACAGAGTGGTATGGTTACTGGTAAAAAGTTACATGTGTTTGAAAGCTACTTAAATTGAAAAATTTTGATACAAGTTTTACGAAGAGAAATGTTGCCTACCTTCTTTCTTTCTTTCTTTCTTTCTTTCTTTCTTTCTTTCTTTCTTTCTTGTCATCTTTTTGTACTTTTCCCTCGTCATCTTTCTTTCTTTTTCTCTTGTCATCTTTCTTTCTTTTTGCCTTTTCATCTTTCTTTCTTTTTCTCTTCTTTTCCTTCCTTCCTTCCTTCATTTCTTTCTTTCTTTCTTTCTTTCATGAGATTTTTTTTACTTTATTTTCTATG